TGCAGGAATGCATATAAAAAAGAAAAGGGAAGTGACCTGTTGGGGCCTAGTAATTGTAGCTGGGCGGGAATCACGAGTTCTGCGCACTCCTACTTTGCGCTGCTTTAACTGATTGTCCATGGGACCAAGCCTTCAAAACAAGCAAAATCATAAGAGAAGTGAAGCATTATAAGTAACGAATAGAGGAAGGAGGAGGGGGTTGGAGCTCACATGGTAGAAGAGCCATGAACCGAAAGGAAAATTGGGGACACAGCAAGGCCAAGTTTCTGCCAGTCGATTGAGTCTTGGGCTTGACCATAGTGTATGAGCAAAGAGGAAACAAATTGTGAAGGGGTGACACCCTCGTTCGCTAAAGACCTAACAGATCCCACCAGAGTGCGCGTGAGATCCAACAGCGCCTCCGCATCTGCAACCTGCTCTCTCGGCTTCTCAACTGCGAAATTCATCCAACCACACGAATGAATCAATCAACGAGGTATTAATGCTATAACAAGAAGAAAAAGAAGAAGAACCCTACTAAGTTGTAGGTACCTTGATCGTGTAACTTGTCGAACTCATCCAAGATGGTGTCGAATTTGCTGCTGTCCGTGTTCAACAAATCGTCTCTTTTGTCTATTAGGTATATTTAGGGTTAGTAAGGGAGAAACAAAATTAATTAAATGTTGTAAATTGAAGAGTGAATGGTAATGTTACCATTGATGAGAGTCTTGAGTTTGAGGAACTGGGAGCGTATGATCCTGCGAGTGGCGGGGTTCTGCTCGCTCGCCTCTTTCTGCTCGGCATCTTTGCCATTGCCGTTGCCTCTGCGCGAACCTCTCATGCTTGCAAAACCTAAACCCTAATTTGAGATAGATAGGGGTTTTGTTTGGAATTGAAATTTGAAACTAATTGTCTGGCATTGGCTTATGGGATTTGAATTTTCATGAAAATGGGGAAAATTGAACCGCGGGATACTTTCCCGCTTAGGTCAAATCTTCTGGCTTTTACCTCAAATCTTCTATCCACTCTCTTTTTATTGCCACACTTGTTTCTTTGGGCCACTCTCTTTTCATGTTTCTTCCTTAATATTGGATCCGTTTTAAACTGAAAAAAAAAAAAATTAAAAAGGATTTTTAAATAAATACTTTTTTTAAAAAAATAGATAAGAGTTGTTTAAAAAAAATGGAAAACTGTTTATTTAAAAAGAAATAGACAAACATATTAAAAAATTTAAAAATATTTATTTTTATTAAAAAAATACTTTTCATTAGAGATTCTTTTTAAAACAAACAGACTCGTTATCAAGAATACTATGCTCAAAACAACAACGAATTTGTTTGAAAAATCAATAAAAAAAAATACCCTGAATTTATTACTGACAATACTGTTGTTGCTAATGCTAAGTATTGGCAAGTTTTTTCCTTTGACTTTTGAAAAAGTTATTGACAACTTTATTTATACAAATATGTATTCCTTGATAATCCATCAAAATACTTGCATTCCAATGATATTGTTGTATACCAACTACCTATGGTCGAAAGCAGTATTTTTTCTTTCTTTCTTGTAGACTACGAAACATAGAAGAACTTAGTAAAATAGGTGACGCCAATTAATTAATTTTATAAAATGGGTCAAAAATGTTAATTCACTGGTTTTTTAGTTGGTTCATTCACAACTTAATAGCATCTTCTATTTGTTCTTGTGAGGTTCTTATTAAGTTCAATATCTTATTCTTATTTATTGTAGGATGTTGACATGACTTATTATAACTATAAGAACAGATTAATTCTTATAGAAACAATATGTTTTTATGATTAAATTTTTTTTTATATGAAACTAGTAATATGTAAGATTCATTTTAAATTATTAGAGGATCGCACTATTGGAAAAATAAGGTAAAATTATGAAATATAATATAATATGACCAGTTGAAAGTGAGTTAAGAATTTTCATGTAAGCACACAAATAGAGGTGTTTTAAATAATAAAAAAGTAGAAGAATAAAAATATGGATGGATGAAAAATAAATGTATAGTATAAATGAGAGTATATAGAACTTAGAATTTTTTTATACCAAGAACTCAGAAAATATTAGAAATCGAGTTTAAGCTTTAGCAAACTTGAAATTGGGAAGTGAAAAATATTTATAAAAAATACTGACGACTCACAGCAAATCCACCACACAACTACGTGTAAATTATTTAGATTAGTGGATTGATTAGTAGGTTAATATACTAATCCAATACATAAAGATAATAAGTAGTTTCTATAGGTGAATTAATTATATTACCTATTTTTTCAAGTGTGATTTATCAAGAACAAAAGGTTTACCGAATTAATTTTTTGTGGCAAGGAAATATTGCCATACTAATTGATATCGAGAAGCTTGAGTCTTCTAGAGTTGTAGCAGCAAACTACAGTTCTGTGGATTACTAAAAGAAACGATGATGATGTATATGTGGCTATGGCTATACCTTGTACAATATTAATTATGTAAAAGTGGTACATCTAACAAAGTACTAAATTTCTAGTCTATCTGAATCCATAAGATGGAGTACATGTTTCACACAGGGATCAATCAATTAACACATGTTCCTGCTAAAAGGTAAAAGATAAGGATGAAGGACAAAAGTAAAACAACAAATTGCATAAATTTCTTCAGGAGATACACACACCAAAGAGCCTCAAACCCTTTTGTGAACTCAAATCCTTTCCAATGTTTCCATCCCTATTTTCATTCTCATCTTCATCTTCATCTTCATCTTCATCTTCATCTTCACATCCTAAAATTTGTTTGGTGTCTTTCTTGCTCTCTCCAAAACACTGGCTTCTCTCATGATCTACTGCATTATTATTATTATTATTATTATTATTATAGACTACATCGATCATTGAAAACGCTTCTCCCTTTGCCCAACTCATAGGTTCACAGATAAAAAAAGCAACCACATCTTTAGCCTTCAATTTCCTATCCTTGACAAAGCGGTTCCAGCCTCTAGTGAACACGTAACTTTGGCTGCTCTTCCAATAGCAGTAGCGAAACTTCCACAACCGCATCAGTTTGTCGTAAAACACAACCTCCATGTCAACACTCTCATCATTCGCGTAAGGAAAATACGTAACCGCGTGTTTCTTAGGGATCACAAGCCTGTTCAGCTTCCCCACATCACTTGGTGTTAATTCCTTCTGAAAAAGTTGGGTGCAGCAAAACTGTTCATCACCCTTCAAACTTATGTGTTTTGCAAGGCTTTGCTGGGGTTGGTGAGTGCTGAGAAACGTGGCAAAGTTTGAAGGGTAGGTGCCATCTCTGATCATGCTAAGCACTGTTTCTGCGCTGTAATGGCTTTGAAACTTAGGCTCTTGAACTGTTTGATCGTTCCATGGAAAGTTTCTGTGGCATTCTCCGCTTCTGAGTTTTATGGTGGCGCTGTCGTAAGCCATTGCAGCCTCTCTTTCGGATTTGAATGTCCCTAACCAGATTCTTTGGTGGTTTGCATATATTTGTGCACCCCAGTTACCATTTTGTTGAGGCACAACGCCTTTGAACTTGTGAACATTTTCTTCGTGCCTGGCGCGTTTCGCTGCGTCCAATGCAAACATGATTTCGCTAGAACCTGAAGAACTTTCCATCTTAGTTCTTTTGGAGGAGAGATTCATTAAAATGTGTTTTTCTTTCTTTCTTTTTATTATGTTTGAAATCGAGAACAAACAGGTAATGGAAACAGAAAACAATGTGAGCAGAAGACAGTGGATTAAATCTGGCAATTGTGTTGTACGAAAATGGTAACCAATGTAGTCACTAAATTTGGTAGTACCAACAGCGCAGTTAGGAAACAAAACTATTTAGTTCCAACAAAATTCAAGTTACAATCTGAAGTGGCCTTGCCTTAATTTAGGAAAACTAGTTATCTATTTGCTTCACCATCTTGTTTTGCACATTATGGTTACCATTTTACTTTCTTGAGATTCATTAATTATTTTCCTATTACAACAAGTTAACTGAAAACACCACCTGAATGACGAATCTTATGTTTTACCCTTCCCTACATAAAATTACTAATCCACCTGATTAGCCAAAACCAACCCATCCAGAACGCCCTAACTGCAATCTTTTCTTGTATGTAACGTGCCTGTCTTGGCTAGTATAACTTGTTAAGACATTCTTTTAATTTTAATTATAAATAGTTGGATATAACTAAACCAAATAATATTATAGTTTTTTAAAACAAAAATTACGACCATTAATTTATAAGTACGCATCATACTTATCATAACAATAATTATAATGACTTGACTTAAAGTTAATATCGATATTATTCTTGTATTTTTTCATTTGGGAAATTATGTGTGACTCAGATTTTATTATTTTTTTAATCTTATAAAACTAATTTATAAAGTAAAAATTGTTCTCACTAATATATTTTATTTTAATCTTATCATTAATTATTAATCAATCTGATAAAAGTATACTTCTTACATTAAAAATGGGATATTTAAAATGTGAAATTTGCAAGACAAACTATATACTCGCTTACGTAACAAGACTGTAATATACCATAATGTGGGTTTTGAACATTTTCATCTAATGTCTGGTTGATCTTATAAGTATTGACTCAATTTATTTATATAATCTATTTTAATTTTTAATTATTCCAAACTTTGCAATCTCCAACAATGTGTATTTGTTTTAGCACCGATCACGGGGGATCACATACATTTTAGTACCTTGGAGAATGACACGTTAGACAAGGTTTTACGTGGAATTTTCACCACTTCAATTGGTTTGTTCTTGTAAAACCTACGCCATTCATTGTAGTTCTGCTAGATTGCCGCTTCTGTGTTTGGCTGCGTAAATTTAGCGATATGAATAATGCCTGTTATTATTTTTAGTACGTCTGCAGTACTCACAGTTAATTTACAATCCAAACCCAATTTCTTCGAACAAATAGTTGGTACTCGAACTTTAAATAATATACTACTAAAAAAAACTCAATTCTATACCAATTATGTCAAATTTTATTGATTTGTCATACTCGTTTTCTTGTATTTTTCTGCACAATTGTTTGTGTTTAAACCAAGCAAAGCGAGAAGTGATGTCAACTTAACAGTTTGCAGTGCCAGTGTAGATGATGATGGTTCACGAACTGTTACTTACATGACTATACAGGTTAAGAAAGATAATGAATAAGATAACACGAGATTTCGTTTTTTAACATGATTTGGAACCGTGTATATATTCTAGGTAGGTCCAATTCAGTATTAATAGCATAATTCAAGCAAATAACTATATAGCTTGTGGATAGATGTTGAAAGTAGAACAAGCTTTTCATCAACTGTCAACAACGTTTAACAGAACCCCAATCACCATGCATGATATGCATGTAAAGGTGAGATCAATTTGCCTACAATTTGCAAATATAGATAGATAGATATTCACGATAAGAATATAAAATCACGTACATCCCAGTATATGTATGTCAAACTTGACGGTTGAGATGATGAATGAAAAGTCGATTGTACGTATAATTGAGGGATTCGGAAATAATATTTACCACATAAATAATTCAGAGTGAAATGGAAGTGAGGCTATCAAATATTTAAAGAAAATAAAAACTTGAAAAGGACGAGAAGACGTCAGATTCAGTGTTATAGGAGGAAAAAGAAACGCCAAGTCCCCACTTGTACTATGGCTGAAGCAACCAGTTTGTGGCAGAGAGTCGTCCATTAATACAGTGTCTAAGATTTCTCCACTTCCCTTTTGAGTATTCACCACTATTCTCATCCAAATTGTCACTTTCTCTCGTCTTATCAACTCCAATCATTTAAGATTTCTTTCTCTCTCACACTCCGTATTTTTGGCTAAGCAACGTCAATTTGAAAGTGATATCCTTTCCCACGTCCCTCTATATATTGCATGCTATAATCCATCTATACGATCAACCCTCTTCATCCTTATATTCATTATTCTCTTCACTTTGTAAGTCTTTTAATTTCTTTCTGAATTAGCTTCTCTTCTTCGCTAGCTTAGTAGTTTAAATTCACGTGGCTTTGCATCATGCAGATACCAACCAGAATGGCCACTTCATTCTCTGTCGACTCCCCCAATATTGCAGCCAACAAGGTACTATTATATTAGAGTAATATTCAAACAAAAATTTCTGCACACTCATTTTATCTCTCTCCATCACATTGCCTTCCTTATCACACACTTCTCTCCTTTTACTTCAGTACATAAAAATATATGATATTTGCTTTGAAAATAAATAGGTAATAGAAGAAGATAGCAGCTACAGAGAAGAACCAGTTATGGAGAAAAGTAGCAGAGAGGATGGAAAGAAAACAGGAGGAACGAAAGTTGCAAGCCTCTTGCTAGGTACTACTACTAAACAAATGATCGATTAATTCATTTTTCAAAAATAAGAAACAAATAGTTTAATTTCCATGCATTGTTCCTTTCAATCAATCAAAAATTATTTTAGCTATAAAAGCCAGTCAATAAATATGTGGTTAGATGACATTGTTAATGTATTTTAATTAAATTCAAATAAAAATGTGTTTGTCTTATCCCATAATTTATCAAGTTTTGACTCAATGTAGTGAATCAAGCACTAGCTACACTAGCCTTCTTTGGAGTTGGAGTGAACTTGGTTCTGTTCCTAACCAGAGTTCTTGGTCAAGACAACGTGAATGCTGCTAATAATGTCAGCAAGTGGATAGGAACAGTTTATATGTTCTCGTTGATTGGAGCATTTCTCAGTGATTCATACTGGGGTCGATTCTTAACCTGCACAATCTTTCAGCTTATTTTTGTTCTGGTATATATTTTTCCCATTAGTCTTTCGCTGTAGCTTTTGTTAATAATGCAATCAACTTTTCCACCTTTTGACATGTTGAATTTTTGTGCATTCAATAGGGCTTAGCATTGTCCTCACTGTCATCTTGGCGTTTCTTGATCAACCCAGCTGGTTGTGGTGATGGCGACACTCCATGTAAACCCTCGTCAATTGGAGACGACATTTTCTACTTGTCCATATATCTAGTTGCATTTGGTTATGGGGGACACCAACCCACCTTAGCAACATTTGGTGCAGACCAATATGATGAGAAAAATCCAAAAGAGAAGAGTTCAAAAGTAGCTTTCTTCTGTTACTTTTACTTTGCCCTCAATGTTGGTTCTTTGTTCTCCAACACTGTATTGGTCTACTATGAGGACACAGGGAAGTGGACAATGGGTTTCTTGGTGTCATTGGTCTCTGCTGTCATAGCCTTTTTGTCTTTCTTATCAGGAACTCCAAGATATAGATATGTAAAGCCATGTGGAAATCCGGTGATGAGGGTTGCTCAGGTATTCACGGCTGTTTTTAGGAAATGGCATGTTGCTCCAGCCAAGGCAGAAGAACTTTACGAGGTTGATGGTCCACAATCTGCTATAAAAGGCAGTAGAAAGATTCGGCACACAGATGATTTTGAGTAAGCATTGAGATTTTAATAACAAATGACTGTTTTCTTTTATAATAACATTTGGACCAAACAAAGAACATAACCGTACTGTACAAAGTACAAACTTTCTGCAAAAGTACTATTTGCAAAATTGCAAAAGATTCAAGAACCAAATACTTAGAAATCACATTCATTAAAAATATGTAATAGTATACTTGTGTCATTTGGGGATGTTTCAGAGTCTTCCATATCAAGTGGAAAAACAAATTAAGCTGTGTTTTTGTTATACCTTGTATTAAATTAGTACACTGTACACCTACTTGGTAAACATAAAAATTTAAACCAATTACTTTTGGGCAGATTCATGGACAAGGCAGCAACAATTAAAGAGAATGAGGAACATAGTCCAAAGAATCCATGGAGGCTTTGCACCATCACTCAAGTTGAGGAAGCCAAATGCGTTTTAAGGATGCTACCAGTTTGGCTATGCACAATTATTTACTCAGTTGTGTTTACACAGATGGCTTCTCTTTTTGTTGAGCAAGGGGATGTGATGAACTCATACATAGGAAGTTTTCATTTGCCAGCAGCCAGCATGTCTGCATTTGACATCTGCAGTGTCCTTGTATGCACTGGAATTTATCGCCAAATTCTTGTTCCATTAGCGGGAAAATTAAGTGGTAATCCAAAGGGACTAAGTGAGCTTCAAAGAATGGGAATAGGCCTAATTATTGGTATGTTTGCAATGGTTGCATCTGGTGCCACAGAGATTGCAAGGCTGAGACATATTATTCATGGAGAGAAGACAAGTTCCTTGAGCATATTTTGGCAAATCCCACAGTATGTTTTGGTTGGTGCTTCAGAAGTTTTCATGTATGTGGGTCAATTGGAGTTCTTTAATGGGCAAGCTCCAGATGGCATAAAAAGCTTTGGAAGCTCACTTTGCATGGCTTCAATTTCTCTTGGAAACTATGTGAGCAGCATGCTGGTGAACATGGTTATGATAATCACATCAAGAGGGCAGAATAAGGGTTGGATTCCAGAGAACTTGAACACAGGGCACATGGATAGGTTTTTCTTCCTCCTTGCAGGGCTAGCAGCCTTTGACTTTGTGCTATACTTGTTGTGTGCCAAGTGGTACAAGAGCATCAACCTTGAAGATAGTAACCAAGAGGAGGAGGTTTGAGTCCAATGCATGTGTTCACTATTTAACTATTTATTTCCCCTCCCCAAGCATTATAAGAATAGTCCTCATCTTACACTGTCTTAGTCTTAGGCTTTTCTTTTTCTTCAAAATGAATCGGATGTGTAAGCCAGTGATTTGTTAATAGTAGCTGCTTAAATTATCCATTTATACCTTAGCTTAATCATCACCTTACAATTAAACGTGTACATTTCAATTTTCCAATAAATAAATATATGAGTTATGAGAGGCATATGTGCTAATTGATGTATGCTCTGTCCTTGAGGGATGTAAAATAATTACAATTTACCACTTGCCCACTATTTCGAGAAAGTATTTATAAACTAATTTTTCAAACACAGTCGAAATATAAAGTATTTATATTTATCTCACCTCTTACCCACGTATTTTATTTGGGCAATCAATGGCTCATGGTGTTCCACCTCCCATTACATGATCATCCTACTCAACTTCATCTCATTTGTCAACATGTGAAATGCACACATTATATCGCAAGAAATCACCCACCAATGCACCAAAATATTTGAACACAACACTAACAGTATTAAATACTCGTGTCTCCTGTCCCTAATTACGTCGAAAGGGTTTATATTTATATTTTCTGCCACAAAAGAAGCTACAGTACATATATGTGAATTAGGCCTTGCACGCTTCCTCTTGTGCCTCAATTCTGGGATACAACTAAGTCACTAGGTTGGGTTCATCACGTATATATATAGCCATGATACCAAACATTTTACACTTTTACTGCATGTTGTTTTATCATATATATTTTGTATTAATTAATTACTTGACAATTAAGGTTTATATATATAAGTATCATCTAATTGAATAAAAGACATGGGACTAATTTCAAATATTATATGAGACATGCATGCAACTATAATGCAAGATCGTATCATCTTGTCTTGGCATGCAAGCTAATCATTCATGACCTTAGGAACCAAATACATGTGGAAGAGCATGAAGATTCCAAGCCATGAATTGTTTGCCTCCACAGATGACATAGCAAGCTGTCATGGTTAAGTGTTCTCACATCATATTCAACATCGCAAATTAATACAGGTTACATGCATGGTTACATATGGATTAAGAAATTTTGAAGATAACACGATTTTGCAAATTATACCAAACATGTAGGACAAGGATAAAGCAACTTAAATACAACATTACAAGTATTATTGGTGTTATTCTTTAATTAAATTTAAAATTTTATCTAATTAATTCGATAATACATATTAACATTTAATAAGATCTTTTATTACATATTGTAAGGATAAAAATTCTATTTTAAGTAAAAAATAATACTAAATTTTATCTTCATCTTAAGCATAAATTTTCTATTAATAATTTTTTTACTTGTCATTGTTTAATATTCGTCAATAGAACTATATTTATAAATAAAGAGTTTTTATTTATTTCATGAATATTTTAAATTTTCTATCACTAGATCGATTGTAATTAATCTTATAAATATATAATATAAAAGTATTAAGCACATTTTATTAAATATTTTAAATTATTTAATTTTTACTTTTGATATAATAAATGAATACTTTTTTTAAAAAAAATTATTTCCATTTGTGTTCATGGATTAACACTAAAAAAATCCTTAGACATAGTTTTATTAAAAAAATATTTTAACATTTTTGAAAGAATGATAATACACATACGATAATTAATATAATGTTATTTTTTATTTTTAACACTTTTTCATATCTTATTCTTTATTACATATCAAAACTTCCTCTTTCTTTTTCTTAGTTGTAAAATTTGCTGTATAGTTTGTTGTTTATTGTATAAGAATCACTTTCTGAAAATGTGCCACTGAAAAGAAAAAAGTTTCCTATACTTAGCAAAAAAACATATAAATAACTTTTGGATATATGAGATTTTCTCAAAAACGTTCATAGAAGATGAATAGATAAAATGTTTAATAGGTAGACATAACATTTTATTGTGATAATTGATTATTAAGTTATTAATTGTTTTTAAAATAGTTACCAGAGTGTAAACATATTACTTTTAAGCAAGTTAAATAACCAAACATATTTTATAAAATCGTTAGGGCTCCAATTTCAAGAAATCACATACTCCAAAAAATGATTATATAGTAGAATGAAACACTTCTTATATTAAATGTGATAATACATATGTTTTTGTATAAAGCATAGGACTGAATAGGCACTGGTGGACCACATAAATGAAGGCCACAGCCTACAAATAAGGATGAGAATTGGATTAACATTGAGTCTAATTATGCGACAACATTTAATGAATATGTAACTTTGGGGATGTTTCACCTTTTTAATAAAATAATAATTTTGATTCATTAACTAATTAACAAAATTGTATTTACATATGTAAAGGTTTTAGGGTGCGACTGTAGTCAATCTAAATGACCAAAACTTGTGAAAATATTTTAAAATTTCATTAAAAAAAAACCTTAAAACTCAAGCTACGCTTGTTATCAAGAAAAAGGTATCAGTGTTTAAAACCAATCTAATTCAATCGGGACATCGAAAATAAATTTTAAAAATTAAAAATCGATAAAAATAAAATAAAATAATTCGCAGTTTTGTTCAGAATTTTTTTTACTAAAAAAACGCGGTTCGGATAAGTTTATGGTTTGAGATATTAAAATCGATATATATATATATATATATAAATCTAACTGTTAGATTGAAAGTTCATATTTCTTAAATCATATATGTCAAATTTTGTTAAAATTGAACAACAACTTGAAGGTAATTAAAGTGTTCATATTTTAATATATTTTGAAATGTATATATTATGTCAATTTTGTTTTATGAGAATGAAGTATCAAATCATCTTAGATTAATATAAAATTTGATATATATTATCTAAGAGATATGAACTTTCAATCTAACGGTTGAATTTACAAAATTCATAATTAATATAAAATTATTAAGCGGTATAATAGTTAATAAAAGTTACACAAGTGTAATTATAACTCTCCTCATATATATTAAATATATATATATATATATATTAAAAAATAATTTTTATTTTTATTTTAATATATATGAGAAGCGTTATAATAATGCCGGTATATTTTTTATTAATTATTACATCCTTCAATAACTTTATATTTAATGTGAATTTTGTAAATCTAACCATTAGATTGAAAGTTCATATCATCTTATATATTTATATCAAATTTTGTTAAAATTAAATAACTTAAAAATAACCAAAGTATTCATATTTTAATATATTTTGAAATATATATTATGTTAATTTTATTTTATGAGAATGAGATATTAAATAATTTTAAATTAATATA